ATGGATGGATAGACGGATGGTCAGATGGGGGATGGATGGACGGATGGTAGATGAATGGATGGATGGATGGATGGGTAGATGGATGGATAGATGGATGGTCAGATGGGGGATGGATGGATGGATGGATGGGTGGTGGATACCTAAGATTCATTGGCCCCAGGCTATCTTCACTGTTTCCCCAGCAGTATCTTTCAGCTCTTGAGAACAATCTTAGAGTAACTGGACTATACAGCACTCACAAACAAAATCCCTTGGCCTCCCAGAAGTCTGGACATGACTCCAGAACCTCCTGACAGCCCAGTATAAGGACAGAGACCCAACAAAGTCCTCAGGTCAACCTCTGAGGCTGAAGGTATCTGCCTATCCAAGGGTTTTAGAAATCAGAGGGCCGCCATTGGGATTCCTTTCAGTTGCAAAGGACAAAAACACAACAAAGGGGCTTAAACAAAACACAAAACAGAACTCTCTGGCTTCCTTGACTCACAAGTTTCGGGATGCATGACCTCAGTCACCCCCCACACTCCCATCCCAAATGCAGAACTCAAAAAATGGCTTTAAAATTTTTAATCCAGTCTTTTCTCTCCATCCTTGGACTCTTTAATTTGGTCTCATTTATAGGCAATAGTCCACATGCCTAGGGTAGACTTCCATTGATACAGCATTAGTTCCTAAAAGGCTACTTGTTTTGGGAAGCTTGGTTTAATGTATTATGTGAGTTAACAAATGTCTTTGTGGCTTAAATATTTTGAGTTGGTTCTTCCTTAGTTATTTGCAACCAAAAGCATCCCAACTTATATAGCACATAATACTGTTAGTAACAGTAGTATGATATCACATGGGCTCAGATTTCTACTCAGGAAATCAATCGTTCACATTACCAATAGCTGGAGCAGAGTATTTTTTTCATCAGTTATTAACCAAGCATCTAAAATTCACTGGCAGTGGGACACCTGGCTGGCTCAGTTGTTTAAGCGTCTGATTCTTGATTTTGGCTAAAGTCACGATCTCACAGTTGGTAAGGTTGAGCCCCGCGTCAGGCTCTGTGTTGACAGTGTAGAGCCTGCTTGGGATTCTCTCTCTCCCTCTTTCTGCCCCTCCCCTGCTCGCACTTTCTAATAAATAAACAAATAAGCAAACAAACACTTTTTCTAATGACTTAACTAAAAGAGGGTCAATTTCACTCATACGTTGAGATGCCATTTTCCACATCAGATTGACAAAAGTTTGGAAGCTGTAGGACTCCTAGGAGCAGAGGAGCTGTGACCCTTCGGACGCTGCTGGTGGAAGCTGAAATTGGCACTTTGCACAACTCCTAAAGAGGGAAAGTCGGCAATGTTTATCCAACTTGCAAATCTTATCAGCAATTCCGCTTCTGAGACTTTACAGCTATATCTACGTAGGTGTGAAAACTCCATACAGACTTATTTTCTACAACACTGTTGGGAATAGCAAAGAATGAAAACAACCCAAATACCCATCAGTGGTGAACGGGGTTAGATTACAATATGGCCACATAATGGAGTACCGTGCAACCACGAAAAAGAACAAGAATATTCCTATGGATCCATTTGGGAAGATCTCGTGAACATAGAAGTATGAAGGGCCAGTTTCAGAATGGCACGTGGCACTTTGCGTAAAAATGAGGAAAAAGTAAAACCTGCATGATCATATTGGCGGAAAGAAACTTGGGAAGAAGATATAAGAAATTAATAAAAAGCGACCCGTAGGGACTATCAGACATACGGGTAAGGGGCAGAGTGCCTTATTTATATATTTCATGCTGTCAATCAGTTACTGTAAGACTGTCTTAAAGATCGGGGCGCGCCTGGGTGGCTCAGTCAGTTAAGCGTCTGATTTTGGCCCAGGTCATAGTCTCACGGTTCATGAGTTCGAGCCCCTCATCGGGCTCTGGGCTGCCAGCTCAGAGCCTGGAGCCTGCTTCAAATTCTGTGTCTCCCTCTATCTCTGCCCCTCCCCCACTCACATATTTTCTCTCTCTCTCTCTCTCTCTCTCTCTGTCCTTCAGGAGTAAATAAACATTAAAACAATAAAATAAAAAAGAAAGAGATCACAGGATCTGTGCAGTGAAACATTTAGGGTCCAAAAAGCAGCCTCTTGTCCAAGGGGTAAACACTGAGGGTCTTTCTGTGGGTTGAGACTTTCTGTGACTTTCAGAATACCCGGGGTGGGGTTGCAGGGTCAGCGATGGGGGTTTCTCTCCTCTTCAGACGCTTGCTGGAGTCCAGAAGGAAGCCTTGGGGTGATGCAGCAGAGTAACCAGAAAGGTGTGGGGGGTGCTGTGGCCACATCCGAGCAGGTGGCCCTGGAGCTCAGTCCTGGATGGTGAGAAAATCCAGGGAAAGCACTCCAGGGGGAGACACAGGAAGTACACAGCTTGCGGGCAAGCAAAGCCTCGGACCTGGAGGGAAACAAGGGGAACCCGGAAAGACTGGAGCTGAGGACGAAGGTCATGGGGTGGGAAGGTAAGGCCCCGGCGGGTGTGGTTGGATCCTTTTGCTTCTGAATTTGGAGTTTTACTGGAGTTGGCATTTGATTCTCAATCCGATGAGAACACACCCGAGAGTTCTAATCAGGAGAGTGGCCTGATCTGATTTACATTTTTAAAAAGTCACCCTGGCTACTGGGGGCGGGGGAGGGGGGGGGCACGGATGGTTTGGAGGGAGAAGGATGGAGGTAGGGTGTCCTGTCAAAAACAACTGGGGTTCCTCATAAACTTAAAGGAGACGTTTAAATTTCATTGTATAACCTACACACACAGTTTCCCGCACAAAACTCAAGCGTGCGTCTTGATGTATTGTTACCTAGGATCACACCGGGTAACCACCACTCAGACAAGACGGAAGTGGTTTCCAGGTCCCCAGAAGGCTCCCTCGCGCCCTTCCCGGCCTCTACCCACATTCCACCGCTGTCCCGATTCCTGACCAGTCTCCCCACGGCGCTTTCAGCCCCGGTCGATGCCAGCTCAGCGCTGGTGAAGCTATGCCTGCCGGTGACCACCAGAGGGCAGTGCGACCCCACAGCTGGCCGGAG